TATATATATATATATATATTACTTTCAAATGAATAACATTGAAACCAAACTCCAAGCTGTTTGCAGCCAAAGATTTCTAATTAACACACAATAAACTTTTTCTATTAGGCCATTCCAATACCGATGATGACTTTTGCTGAGTTTAAAATGTGTTAGAATATCGAAATAATGTTTTTCACCTTTCGTGGCTAAAATTACACATTTAATAAGAACGATTTCAATGTGGTGTGGGTTTTGATTATATACATGTCGCAAGAAATAAAACCCCTATTTGAACCTCAATTGTAAATTAAAGTCAAATAGTTAGTCTGTATGTATATATATATATATATGTATCGATGTTGTTGTTGAAGTGTATATTTTAAATGCATTTTATCATTGTTTTTAAAGTTTGTATGATATAAACATTAGAAAAAACGATCTTTATTTATTTAATAGTTTTATATCAAAATATAAATTTAGATATTATTCTTTTATATGTTAAAATAATTATGATAATATTTTATATTATATTTTATTTAAATATTTTTAATTATAAATGAATTGTTTTTTTAAATATTATAATCGAACCGAAACCAAACCGAACCGAATCTTTATTTGGTTATAGTTTGGTTATAGTTTTAAATAGATAAAACCGAACCGAACCGAATCGAACCGAATAAAATTAATTAACCGTTTGGTTATAAGTTTTAAAAATCCGAAATAACCGAACCCGAAATAATCGTAACCGATTAATCTGTAACCGACCGTTCGTCCACCCCTAGTAGGAATAAGTCGCTGTCTTGAGAGAGTATTTAGAGAGACGCACGTGCGACTCAAAACCCGTTAACGCCGTGCCATGTTTCGAAGGCACGCGCACACGCCCCGTTGTTTTCATGCTCGTCCAAAGTCTTTTTTTTCTTCTTCTTCCCGTCCCGACATTATACGCAGAAGTAGTTTTCAAATGCACGTCAGTGTGAGATGTGGGTGCATGCATGCTTCCCCGTTTTAATTGACTTTTTAAAAAAAAAAAAAAATTGCCCGTTATGACAAAAATCTTTTGTTGCTGTATATCGTAGCAGACAGGCAAACATCAACGAGGAAATTTGTGTGTGAAAATCCAATTTTGAGCCAAAGGAGTGTAAACATCGATCTCCACTTGAGTGTCTCCGTTCCACTTCTTTAAACACTGCCATTTCCAATAATACTAGCAAGGAATTTGGCAAATTGAAATCAATAATAATAATAATAATAAAGATTTTATTTTATTTGTATGAAAGGTGTCTCTTCGGGGATAGACAAATAACGAGACAAAAGACACAATCGGAAAAAAATAAAAATAAAAAACAAAATGAAGAGACCTACGCTGTAAGAACTCGAGATAGTAAGAAAGCTTAAAGTCTACTTTACCAAAACAATAGAAGAAAAAAGAAAAAGAAAATTATTGAAGATAAAAATAACCGGAATCACGGAAACATAAATTAATCTTTGTTAATAAATCATCCATGTGTATATATGTATGATCAGATGGATCAAAGTATTAATCTACCTGTGCATTTCCTTTCAGCACCTTTCGTCTTTTCAGACCTTGTCGTCTGATCGGGGAGGTTCCGACAGGCCATTGAGTTTCTGAGACTTGTTGGATGGAATGCGATGCTCTTTCCCCTTCTCTCTCT